ACCAGACAAAAAATTGGAAGGTGATATTCCCCTTTTCTTTCTTCTCAGTATTGTCAGTGAAGCAGGAGCATCCATCTACAGTGTTAGCTCTGAAGCTAACAAAGAGATGCCGGGACTGGACCCTAATTTGAGAAGTGCAGGTAAGAAGCTTAGCACCATCTCAGAAGCATGTGATTATAACAGTTTGTACTTGTTTTTATAACAAACAAAATATTTAAATATCCAAGAACACTTAGAAGATATATTTTTATGAATAGGCTTGTTAGAAGTGGTTGGTTGGAATAATAATTGGAAAAGAAAAGGAAGAATACTGTTTGTAAAGAACACAGCATAGTATTCCAGAATGAAAAATTAACCCAAAACATCTTTAGTAAAATTAAATGCTAGAGAGTTAACAGAAATAATAAATACTCTTAAGCTCTCCGCTTATTAAAACAAAATATTTATTACAGCTTTTTGTTGGCAAAAAGTAATATATTAACATAAAACTATTTATATATAGTCAAATGTATGAGCCTACACAGGCTTTCAGTTTATTGCTAAATATTTGTCAAATGACCAGTTTCTCTTTTGCTAATGGGGATCATCAGTGGTATATTGTTTATATCAAGCCTGTTGTGATTTTAGTTGTATTAAGTTGCTTTGATTTCTGCAATGTGGAAGAGTTAAATTCTTGTGTGTGAAGAAATTAAGATACTTTGATACATCTAGTGAATGTAATTAGTATCACAAGCAAGATACTAGTTCTGGCCAGAGTATTTTTCTGTGTAATGTAGATATTCAGACTACTTTGTTAGAAACTGACTTTTTATTGAAAATTTTTCCTTAAGTATTCTCATCAAGTTTTATCAGCTATTCTTAAAATCTATACCTGGGGATGTATATTTGAAGGTTTTTTGTGTTTTTTTTTGTGTTTTTTTTTTTTGCATTAATTTAAAGCTAAAAACTTCTTTCTTATATCCAGAAAAGCTTGTAGTTTCTCTTCAGTTTTTCATTCCATGACATAGTCCCTATCTAAAATGATCATCTTCTCAAACTCAGAACCCAGCTCAAAATCTTGCTTCTTCTGTGAAGTTTTACCCTATCACCCCAGCTCAGCATGGTTTCTCCCTTCTTGCCATGTACTTTTTTGATACTTGCCTTGTAATAATAATAATAATAATAATAATAATAATAGTAATAATTAGATATAGTAATCCTAGTAGGAGCTGCTAATACTAATCTTTTTTAAGCACCTAATATATGTGAAACATTGTGATAAATGCATTACCAGGATTATTTTTTTTAATCCTCAGAATTGCCCTATGAGACGTTTATTAATCCCACTTTATAGATGAAGAAACCAAGGCTTAAAAGGCTTAAAGAGGCCACATAGCCAGTAAGGGTGCGCATAATATTTGTGTACTTTTGTAATTCACAACCTCCCAAGTTGGCACTGAAAGGTAATCTTCCAACAGGGCATTGGAAAAACATGTTGTCTAGGAGGTGGTGGTCCCTCAGACCTCCCACTGTCATAGTATTATAGATGACACAAGATTACTACATTCCAACAAGACCCTATGAAAATAGGAAATAATAAAAAGAGGAATTGGTGTCTGTTCCTAAGTACTCTGATTTCAAAATCTAGCTCTGTCTTCAGTTTGTGATTCACTGCAGGTATGCATTCCTTCTGTGTTTCAGTTTCTGTCTATGGGGCAGTGACTGCGTTTGATCCATATTAACTCAAAACATCTACCTAGACAATTTTGACTCTTCAGAATCTAGTCCTGGAGGCAAATATTGAAAGAAGCTGAGAGTCTCCACTCTCGCTTTTTTAGGGCCCACTTCCTTTTCAATTCCTGTTTTCTGAATGAGAATCTCCCTTTCCCAGTGATTGATGCCAGGGATGACTTTATACTTCATTTGAGATCTGACCTACCTGTGGGTGTGAGTTTTACCTTTCATCCCTCCATGAGTAACAGAACCTCAACGTTCATACAAGTGTTAAACATGTGTAAGAAAATAACTTCAAATTACCACATCTTCTTGACCAGTTTATCAACTTATTGAAAACACAGTTTATCCTTATATATGCTTATATTCTCACATAATAAATACATTATACATGAGAGGCATTTAAATTAGATGGGTAGACTACTAGATAGATGGCATTAAAATATTTAGTATAGATTCCTGATTTAAAATGGAAAATTGAGTATACCTGTTATTCCTTCACTTCTTTCTGAAATATTAAAATCACAGTAACTTGATGGAATGAAGACAAACTCACTAGGACAAAGAGAATGGGAGAGGAGATAATAGCAACAGTTTCAAAGCTGGAAAGCAAATGACTAAGTACAAAGTTATCTAGCCAACTTGAGAAAATTGAATACTAAGACAGCATTGTAGAAAACAGCAAACTAATCTAAAATAGATCACAGAAACTGCATAGGTTCAGGAAATGTATCAAGCACCTTTAGAAGTATTTTGGGAGTGCTGAGAGTGGGTCTAAAATAAGACCCACTTAATTGAAGGTCTGTTTAAAAAGCAATTAGACCAAGTTAAACATTGACTATCATATAAACCAGCAATTCCATTCTTACGTGTATACTCAAAAGAATTGAAAACAAGTACTCAAAAAATTCTTGTACACAAATGCTCATAGCAGCACTATTCACAGTAGCCGAGAGCTGGAAACAGCCCACATGTCCATAGCAGATAAATGGAGAAACAAAATGTGGCATATTCATACTGTGGAATATTATTTTTAGCCATAGAAAAGAATAAAGTACTGATACATGCTACAACATGGATGAACTTTGAAAACATGCCAAGTGAAAGAAGCCAAACAGAAAAGGCCACATATTGTATGATTACATTTATATGAAACGTCCAGAATAGGCAAATCTGTAGAGACAGAAAGCTGATTGGTGGTTGCCAGGACCAAGGAGAGGGGAAAATGAAGAGGGATGACTTAATAGGTACGGGTTTTTTTTTTAAGGTGATAAAATGTTTTTTGGAACTTTTTAGAAGTGGTGGTTCACACAGCATTTAAGTATACCACATACCACTGAATTGCACACTTTTAAATGGTTAATTTTATATTATGTGAATTTCACATCAGTGAAACGGAACCTCCCATTGCACACATTTTGAATAACTTTCCTTCTTCCACCTGTGCAGAACATTGGAGATTCTCTCAAGAGGGTTAAATGGAAGGTCTCTATACTGGAGGATACAGGTTGTACATGAGAGTAGGGATACCTACTGAAAAAAGAAGGGTTAAATAATTATTTACATGCTGTCATAGAGACTTTAGAGAGGACTCAGTCTTCCCTGCAGGAGATTAGGGGATTCAGACCAACACAAGAGAAAACACCTAAAGAAACTGCACTCAGAGAGTTCACAAAGAATTGGCCAAATCTCCAGACAGTGAAGGCCACAGTTGACAAACCTCGAAGTTTTGCATATTTTATTTTTCTTACAAACAACACACACACACACACACACACACACACACACACACACGAATGGGTTCTCCTTGATATTTTCTTATTGGTTACTGATGGCACATGGTAGAGCATCAATTTTTGCCTGGGTGTCTTGAAACCAGCCCACTGATTGAAATCTTACTAATTCTGATATTTTTTCAGTTGACTTGTTTGAGTTTTCTAGGTAGACAGTCATCATCTGTAAATAATAATAATCTAGTTTTTGTCTGTTCAGTAATTATGCTTTCTTTCTTTTCTTAACCAATTGCATTCATTAACTAGAATTTCCTGAACAATGGTGAATAGTAGTAGTGATACAGACAAATATTGGTGTCATATGTGGGCACAATAGTATTTGCCATATATTTGGATATACTGCATTTAAAAAATACATAATGGCTTCCTTGAGATACAGTTTACATAGCATACAGTTTACCCTTTTACAGTGTGTCAGTGTTTTTCAGTATAGTTAGAATTGTGCAACCACCACCACTATCTGATTTTAGAACAGTCTCGCCACCCCAAATAGAAACCCCATATCCATTAGCAATCAGCCTCCCTTTCCCTCTTCTCCCCAACCCCTGGCAAACACTAATTTATTTTCTGTCTATATGAATTTGCCTATTCCGGATATTTCATATAAATTGAATCATTACAATACGTGACTGGCTCTTTCACTTAGCATAGTGTTTTCAAGGTTCATTCATACTATAGCATATATCAGCACTTCATTTCTTCTTATTGCCAAATAATTTTCCATTGTATGGGTGTATCACATTTGTTCACACAGTTATCAGTTGATGGATATTTAGGTTGTTTTCACTTTTTTGCCCATTATGAATAATGCCACTATGAACATTCATGTACAAAATTTTATGTAGACATATGTTTTCATTTCTCTTGAGTATATAACTAGGAGTAGAAATTTGGGGGCATGTAGTAACTCTATGTTTAATATTTACCAGAAGTCTTTTGACTTCTGTTACTATGCTTTCCTCACCATTCATCTTTTGTCTCTTTTACTATTTTCTATCTCAAAATGTGAATGTGCCCCAAGTTTTGGGTCATGACTTTCTCGCTTTTCATGATCTTTATCAGTAATCTATTAACTCCCTTTCCTTGAACTACTATCTGTTTCTTACTTTCAGGAATCTCTTGTCAGCCTGATCATTCTCAACCTACATGTATTATTATTACTGTCTATTGCATAATTCTTTTCTTGGTTATCCTGCTAGCAGGAAAACAGCACCATCTCTCCAAAGGCTGGGCATGCTGCTTTTTAAATTCTACTTTAAACGATGTCCATCTTCCTGCCTCCTTTCTCTTCCGTGCTTGAGTTTTTATGCTGTATAACGTGAACAGCATCTGAAAGGGAAATATCTGTTCTGGAAATACTAGAGTCTATGTTGCGATTGTTTGTTGGTGACACTGTAACTCTAGAGTTCTTAGGACTTATTGTAGAATTAATATGTCACCTCGAAACTGTCATTTCCAGTCCATTGTTGCTGCATTTAGCAATATTAGGATGAACAAGGGAGACACTAGCAGTGAAACAGTTAGAAGGGCACCAGGTAGGTAGAAAATAGTTTAAGACCCTTGTGTGTATTTTAGAAATTTTAAAATATGAGAATCTACCGACATTTATCAAATTATGCAATTGCTCTATCCAATTTCTTAAGTTTAAATTTTCATAATGTGGGTTTTCCTGAAGGGGTTGATTTGAGAGATATACCTATTATTGATATCCTTTTATTGATACTGCCTTCCTGCATAGTGAACATACTGATGCCTTTATCCTTAACTTGGTTTACTGTTGTGTGTTGTTGTTGTTTTTTTTAATCAATAATGTATTTGGGAAACGCATGTGTGTATTTGAAAATTATTCTTATTGCATTATATATAGATAAAGGCTAGAATAAAGAAATATTTGCTTTTAGAAAATATCAGGTGGTGGCATGTATTTTCAATGTGTAATTATAAAAGTGATTATTAGAGAAAACCATTTCTTCTGTAACCTGCAATGCTTTGCACTAATTAACCTTTTGTGAGGTGTATGTGCAGGCCTTGGAATCTCCATCTCTTCTGTGGGCAAAATAGGCAGATTGTATAACACCAGCTTATTGTTCTCTATGCTTGCCTTGTAAGCTGCCGTTTCATGATATGTTAGAAGTAATAATGGAATATGTGAAAAAGACTTGAATGACTGTGCAGTGAACTTGATGTTCACAGTAGATCTTACCTCTGATGAGAGGTAGTACAAATTAGTGACAGGAGAATCTGGTCATCACTTGTAAGAGGTGGCGTCTGTTGCCAGACCTTGAACGGTCAGGGGATTCCTTTGATTTCTTTCACTTAATGAATTTATATTTTATCCAACCTTCTGTATGAGTAGGTGGATTAGTTTTTATGTATTTAGAAAATAAAAGCTGTTCATATGTAGGGACTCAATGTAACTCTGCTACTTGGGAAAAAAAGAGCTGCCTTTAGAAGTAGCCTTAAGATTCATATTAAATTTCTTTTCTCTAGCTAGATTTATCTTATAAGCTAAATTAAATAGAAATTTTTGTTAACATTTGGTAGGGAAAAAAAAAAGATGACAATGAATGATGACCAAGTAAAATGACACAAGTAAAGGAATATTTGAAGTTAATTTTCAAGTCTCTTGAACATGAATCGTGATGGTCAAGATGATTAGGATTGTGCGTGTGTTAAGAGACAAGCAGTTGTGACTTGGATCACTTCACAGAGTAATCTTGCAATCATATTCAGGGCAATACAAGTATATTCACTAGCCAACTGACTTTGTCACTGTTTGCAATAACATACGATTTCATCATTCACTCATCATTATCAGGATCTAGTCCTAATAAGCATATTTGACATACAAATGTTTGTCATGTTTATAATAAAGCAGGATTATATAAAAGTAAAATAGATATCTACCTGTTCATTAAAGTGTGAGCTCCTCTACTATGCTGTATCTGTACTTAAAGAACGAACAGGTGATTATGTAAGTATAGCAACTAAATATTTTATTTATTCTTTCACATATATAACCTGTTCACTCTATTTGTGTTCAGGAGG